GTGTTCATTTAGATAATCACTTGCCTAGACACAGAAGATTAGACCTAGGTACTTCTCACAGATCTGCGAAGGTACAGGATTCCATGATTTCCCTCAGCAGCCAGGGTGATTAGATTTAAAAACTCACCCATTCTCAGAAAATAAAGGAATGGGGAGGGTCTGTGAAATTGAGGTCGATCTATCCCTCTATTTACATGGCTGACCAGGACCAGGATCTCCACTGATTTACAGCGAGCAGTAGTTCCTTATGCTCTGCTCAACAGTCTCATTTATCGATTACTCTGACTTCAGTTTTTTGAAATGGAAATGGGAGCAGGGTAAGATGTGGGGCAGTGGGGGCTGTGGGTGATGACACTTAGAGCTGACAAAAAGCAGGGGTCTGAAGCTTGAAATGAAGGTCCAGGTCTCCCAGGACCCACAGGAAACAGGTCTGAAATGAGAACATGCACACACACAAGCACACACACACAAACACACCTGTACACACACACACACACACACACACACACACACACACACACACACACACACACCTGCCTCCTTCTGGCTTTTCATTCAAGGTTTCTAAAGATAAGATGACCTAGTTTCATAACCCAGTTTAAACCATTCCCACATGAAGACTCCGGTTCCTTAATCTTGTCCCTGAACCAAACTGTGAGGCAGTGCACCAACTGTGTGATGTTTCTAAATGCCTCAGAGAACGTGTTTCTTTTCTTAGAATCAGAAAGGAAAGGTGCTTTGGACTGAAGATCTGGCTTTGTGTGTGTTGAGGCTCTGTTTTCCGCAGCTCTTGGGACTGAAGACAGTTTGCCAATGAGGAAGGAAAACAAAATGAAATCAAGGGTGCTGGGTTTAAAACCAATGTGCCCTTTAAGAAAGATCTTGGTGGCTTTTCCACCACTGTTCAGGGGGTTGTTTTAGGCAGGGTGACGGGCAAAAACAAATTATGAAACAGTGGGGACAGATGGGAGACACACTTCCTGGGCTCTCTGCTGCAATTCTACAAACAGGGAAGAGTGCTGTAAGTCCAAATGAAGTCTCCATCGCATGGGAGATGTGACATTTAAAAGAAGATACACATTATCTGTGGAACAGACACACTTCTAAATGGACTAATTCACTCTAAACTGGGAACTTGGAAACCATCCCAGGAGATGAGAATATTTTTCCTTTTTAGGCATTACTTCCTTCCTTTCTAGTAATTTAACTTGTTTTACCCCAACTGGCTTGGCTGACAGGCCTCATCCAGTGTCAGAGGGGGCAGCTGTGGCAGGTTGTCACTGTGGAGGTGAAAAGAGGATGCCCTTGTGAAGAGCAGGAAGAACAAAGTACTGTGGGCGCCTTAAGATCTAACACAATGCGTTGAATTAGGAAGGAAATTTAAAGAGAGTTACTTAGGATTAAAACAGCATAAATCCATTTATTTTTCAAGCAGACTTTGGAGTCATGCCTACCAAGCCTTCCAGGAACTGGTATCTGAGTGCCTGTCAACTCCCAGTGAAATATCCCCTTCTCACTGATTGAGCAGAAAAACTGTAATCAATTCCTCCCAACATCAGTAACCAAGCAGCTACTAGGTCTATGATGCTGCACTCTCCACTGTGAAGAGAAAACAAGCAGAAAACATTGCCGCTCCTTTTAAGCAGCCTAAAATCTGACAGCCATAAATAAGAAAGTCAAACAAAAAAAAATGAATTTGGTTCTAAAATTTGTAAGACAATGCACTATGAACAGAGAGGTATTGTGAGGATACAAAGCAAAGAGTACCTCAGATAAATAGAACTGGTTTGATTGAAAAGATGAGCATGGCTTGGCAGAGAGCAAAAGAGAAAATCTCTAGAGGAAATAGCAATTTTCAGACTGAGTTGAGCCCAGTGTCCACTGCTGTCAATAGAAGACTCAGGCGCCATACAGAAGACTGATCTGGATACTCTCCACACACAGCAACGTTACAGGTTCTATCCCTGACATGCCCAGAGGGAAATGACTATGCACAGGCAGCCTCAGTAAATATCTACTGGTAAAAAATATCTTCAAAGAATTAGCCCATGTGGGGCAGAGAATCCTAAAAGTCATAATAAGCCATTTGAGTAAAACACAGCAGGAGAGAACGCTTGGGATTTTGAGAAACAAGCTAAAACTGAGAGAGAGAGAGAGAGAGAGAGAGAGACTGTATATATCACAAACAAGGAAATGAGAATGTAAAAATGGAATACTTAAAGAAAATTATTAAGTTCATGTACTCAAAGCGTTAAAACTGTCTGCTAGAATAGCACCCTCCTGGCCAAAAGTGCAGGTGCCTAAGGTCTAGGCTCACTAAATCAGTACTCACCTATGTCTTGGGCACCCTACAAATAGACTTCTCCTCAAAGCCATTTGCCACAGTATATTTAGGAAATAACTGTGTCCCCTCAGATGACTTTGACACATAGGCTAGTGTCAGAACATGGTCCTTTTGGGATTCCACAATAAGTAGAAACTGGGGGACTGAGATCCTAATTCCAGGTTCACTCTGACTTTATAACTTCAGACACACAGTGAACAGTTTTTTATAATCTGTTTCCTTACAGATGAAGGAAGAAGAATAGAGTAACATAGGCCAGAGAGTCATAGTAGCAGAGGCCTTTAAGGTGACCCCCATTCATTCCCCTGAGTCAAAGGTTATGGAGCAGAGAGAATTTTAACCCAAGAGTCAAGTGGGGTGGGAAAGGAAATAACAGAACCCTCATCATCCCTGCTGGATCCCTGTCTGCCACTGTGGTCAAGACCCTCAGAAGCACAACTTAGCCCTATTATGGCCCTTTAATTACCAAAGGCAAGAGACTGGAGTTTCCCCCACCTTTTTATAAGCTCCTGCCACCTTCCTTTTCATTTGAAAGAATCAAAGAGGCTCCAACCCCAATCATTGCTCAATAAATAGTAATGCTGAATAAGTAAAGGTTGCTCAGTTCCATCATTGAGTCCAGAAGAGTGGACCAATGGTAAGAGATGAGGGAACCAAACAAGGGGGTGGAGGAGAGGGAAAGCACAGAGAGGTGACTCTTCTTGCACTTTAAACAGAACAAAGAAATCCCTGGTTGGCTCCTTGAACAGAAGAGCAAACTAAAGTAATACAAGTAACCTAAAGTCTTAGCTAAAGAAAAAGTCACTGAAATTTTTTAACAATCTGCTTTTTCCTCTCTTCTGAAACAAATGCTTTACATAATTGTAATAAATGAGTATAGCGTGTCGGTCACGGTTTAGTTTCTGTTTGCTAATACTAAAGTCAACTCACAAATATATTGGGTTTTTTCCAGAGTAACATCTCATAACTCCTTACACATCAGATCTCTAAGCCCTCAGGTGGACTGTCTTCAGGATAGGCTTTCGGTTTTCACTCCATTGTTAAATGTTACCTAAGTGTTTCATGCCTTTCAACAGACCTCCAAGATGGGGTATCCACAATCAAAGAAAAGGGAAGAAGAGGGAGGGAGGGATAAAAGATCACTATGCAAAAACCAGCCTTAGTTCCTATTTATTCGTCCCTCATCCTGTACTGCAGCCTCCCACTGCTGGCCAAAAATACCATTTTGATGAAATATTAGAGTATGTACCTCTCTACAGGAATCAGAAAATAATACCTTGCAGCCAAGCTCTGGCTCAGGCAGGACACTTAGTTAATTTAAACTTGATTAAACTGCCCCTCATTAGAATCTCTCACCTCAAAGAAGGCCCTGCTGCTGTAGACTACAGGATGATTTGGAACGTCATGAATATCAAACTAACTCCTCCTGTTCCACATTCTCATCATTGCTCCATGCATAGCCCTCTTAGGTTTTATTTATGTTTATGCATTTATGTTTAATTATGCAAACATGGGTACCAATATACTCTCTTATAGGTTAAGAGTTTATTAAATAACTATCCCGGAATAAAGGAGAAAACTCCAGGAAAGGAATATTCTTTCTATACCCCAATTCAACAGGGTCAGGCAGCATCTGAACACTCTCAATATAACAATATCTCCACCAAGGAAGAAGCTATAGTTCAGGTACATCCAGTCTTTTCCCAGGCACTTCATAAATGTGGGCAGCATTTACACTGGCATGCATCCCAAATGTAGGATGTTAATAAGAGAGGAGAGGAAGAAATGTTATAATACAGAGGATATCAGATCATGGCACAGGCTTCCTTTCCACCACCCCACCTTTCTCTTTCATGTGGAGAAAAAGAACATGGATTATCCCCCTCTATTTAAACTCAATGAAAAGTGCTAAGCAAGGTTCATCATCAGGGAAGGCTGGCAGAACTTCAGGGAAACCCTTCTCTCCCTTGATACCTTTTCCTCACATTGCTTCAGGAAGGGACAAAGCCTTTGGGTCTGCAGTTAGAAACAGTTCCTCAGCTAAGAACTTGACTCACTGAAGACTCTCAATAAATGTATTTAATCGACTAAGGAATTTCAGAGTGTAATCTTCAAGTCAAGTTAATAATTTTTGTGAGTGTGTTATGGTTAAAATGTTCACATCAGTTCATATACCCAGCCTACTAATGCAAGACCCATCTAACTTTGGTTGGGGGGAGGAAGGAAAAGCAGTAGAATGACACGAAGTGCCTGTAATCCTCTGGGGGGAAAAAAAAACCCAGAAAAACTCAGCTCAAGCTGAGGAAATCAAAACTTAGATTGCATGATGTTGCACTAAGGGTAAGCTCTATTCATCGTCAACTTGGCAGAAACCAATAAAGCATGCACATAAGGTACTTTTTATCTTACAGCTGCAGTAGTGCTTCAAATGATTCAGGAAGCTTTCATCTTAGTCTTGAACACATCTGACTTCATATAAAGGAGCTACGCTCATAGGAGTTCGGAAATGGAGCTGCAGCTAAGGTATCTGAGGATAGGTCAGTGGGCAATGTTGAAAGTTATTAAGCAAGTCTTCCTTGTAGCTAGAGAAATCCTGAGAATGCGAGACACAAAACATGCACTGAAGTGATGTTTAAACGAAAAGGCCGACACCTACACTCCAGTCCAAAGTCGCTCTGGGCTCCTTGGCTGGACCATTTGCCACAGGAAGGCTGAGGGGATGTGCAGGAGCCAGATGCTGGAGGCCTGCCCGGGAGATTGCTTTCCTGTAGCAAGAAGAAAAACAAAAACAAAAACAAAGAAAAACCAATGTCAGAATCTCATACAGAGCTCGAAATTTCCCATGGGATAGAAACAATGCCTGAGTTAGCCTTCCAAATCTGAAAACCTTTACCAATGTATTGAAATATACCTCTCTAAAGTGCATGGTGTCAATAGAGGGTGGCAGGTCCCAAAAGACAGGGCGGTTGAGGGGACCACTGGGGGGAAATACTGCTTGAGAACCAAAAATTAAAGTAGAGAGAAAGAACAAAGGTCTTGACTCTTCATTTATGGAAAAAGACCTAGGGTTTGGGCAGCCACCATACTTGAACAACTTTAAGATTGCCAGAGACTAAAAGGAAGAAAAATGGGTTTGTGAGTCTCCTACTGAAATTCCTCCATTTACCAGAGAAGCACTCTCCACGGTGGTTATAGCTGAAAGTTCATTATTATTTTGCTCTCCTCTCAAGAATATCCACCTTTGCTTATCCTCCTTATACCTGTAGAGGACTACATAAACTTGAGGTTCTAAATGGGAAAAGACTGCTTTGCTTCTGTCAAGAAATTGCACAACCAACGTCTTACCAAGACCCACAATAAGATAAAGACTAAACACGAATGAGATTTTAGATTTGTTGAATGGAACATAACAGAATTCAGGTCAGAAAGGAGGGTATGGATCAGGAGAGGTTGAGATAGCCCCGATCTGAGTCTGCAAAGAAATGAAACAAAAGGAGCTACTTTAGCAACATAAATATGATCATTGCTGAGCAAAGGGAAGGGAGGAACAGTCAGAGCACAGTGGTGAGAATAAGAATAGCAAGAAGAAAGAAAAAGCAAGGGATCACCTAGGGAGATCTGTGGGATCATCAGGAATCGTGGAAGTTCAATTTCTGAACAGCCTCATGAAAAATGCCTCACAACGGTATAAAGCTTAAACATGAGTGCTGATTTGTGATTTAACTAAGTTGCCTCCTAAAAGGGAGAAGGGCTTTTCCTCTAATAGTATCTAAGTGTGGTCTGAGAAGTACCTGAAGTAGAATCAGGAGGGTTTTGTGATGCTGCATCTCTGAGTCCTGAATCAGTTGGAGGGTGAGGCACAGGAATCTGCATTAACACACACTCCCAAAGTTTTCTTTGGTGCACTAAACTTCTTAAACTTTGCTCTATGGGAGCATGTACATTTGGGTGGCTAGGACCACAACTTTCCAAAGCCCATCAAGGGAGCTCTAAAGAAAACATCAGCAATTTCATTATTTACTTTATCTCCATTTGGCTCTCTGCAGCTACTCTCATATGACCTGAACACTGCAGTAAGAATCTGCCATCTCCGAGACTAGGCCTGCAGACACCCTGGATCCCCAGAGAGGCCCAGCTCCTCAGACTCCTCAACCCCTTGGACTAAACAGAGGAACAAGGATCCAGACAGTGGAATGGAGAAAAGGAAAGCAGTGGTGGCCGGATCTGTGGTGAATCCCATTACAAATGGGTCGCCAAAGGAAAAGAAACATGCACCACATAAAGGAGAAGGAACAGGAGCAGAATTTAAAAGCTTTCTTGAAACCTAAAGTACAGGTAATTTTTCCATCCTGCTCAGTGACCTCTGCAAACTCCCTCTAAAAAATAGAATCTGTAAAGTTGAGCAAGATGAACAGTAGCCCCCAAGCCTGAGGAAATGCTGAGTAGAAGCCAGTAAACAGTCTAGGATTGTGCAACCATTAATCAATTACCGTAATGTCAGAAAGCTCAGCAAGTGTCTAGACCTTTAGGTTTTTTTTAAGTCTCTCATATTCCTATACAGGAAGTCCCAGAAATAGTGGGTAGGTCTTCAGTAGTTAGAAGCGATCACATCGAGCTTGCTGGCAGCCTACTTTCAAAAGCTCCCACTGGGTAGCAGACAATGTACTTGCTTTATATAACCCCCGAAAGAGTCATTATGAAGATGAAGGCCTTCAACGATGACACAATATTCTCGTTCCTCACTTTCACCCAAGCAAATAATTGGCAACATCAATTCTGGCCCCTCACCCCAAAGCATATTCCATATCATCAAGCAATAAGAAAGTAACAGTGGAAAAATCTTATGCAGTGATCTGTCATTTCAAAACAATTTTCCTGCAACTATATTGAAGGAACTTTCTTTAGAGTTTATTAGGATTTTCTCCAGCTTTCAAGGGATCTGTACGGTGACTCTGAGCTACAGTTTTCATCATAAGAAAATGAGATCTCTGCAGAGTCGGAATATACGGGTTCTACATTTGATTCCTTAACAGTCAACACAACCTAAATTAAGTGTTCTTACAAAAAGTACCAAACAATCCCCAAGTGCAAACTCTTAGAATGGCTGAAGAATTCCTAAATCTTGGTTTTTGATGAGAAAAACACAAATCTTTCATTTTTTCATTAACTGTCCCAAATAGTTTTGATTAAAACAATTTTTTTAAAGAAAAGAAACAAAATTCTACTGTCAGGCACCAGTAGAAACCACAGGACAAATGAGTTTAACTCATCAGAACTGGTAGACTCTGACCACCAAAACCTGGCTACTCTTCCTAATTAGGACCAACAGAAGGAGCCAATGCTAAAATAATCAAATTAGGATTCAAGGCTCCAAGCCACATGTGTCTATGAAAGACGATGTGGCTACACAATAAGAGACATACAAACATTTAACCTTGAATGAAACCACAGTCAAATCACACTTTCCCAGCCTAAGAATAGAAACAAAGAAGGCCTTTTTGTCAATCATTTATTTCTCTTTGTGGATACAAATTTAAGGCTGGTTTTAAGCCTACACACATAAACATTAATTGGGAGAAAAAATAAGTAAAAAACATCAAACTGGCTGCCAGTTTGTAACTGTAATTGGCCTCGCAAAAGGACATACAAATAGGAAAAATATATTTAGGTATAACAGGGTGTAGGAAGTAACTTCTGAGTAGAACTTTCCATTCTTTTAAATAACGATGGGAGCAAATCCTTGTCTCCAGTAATTCATACATGTGTACACATTTTCTTCCAAAACAAGAAAATAGTTTTATTATATCTCAGACTTCAAATGTAAGTTAGTGAAAGTTATTTTTCTATTTGAATTCTTCTTGGTGGTAGAAGATGACATTTAAGAGTCTGGAAGAACTTGGTGTGTGGTTGGGAGTGGGATGAGGGGGCAGCAGTGTTATGCTGCAATTTGCTCCCTATTAAAAAAAAAATCAATGGGGTTTCAACTTATTCTTTCCTTCTGCTCAGAATCCTCTCAAGCCCATGGTCAGCAAAACCATGAAATGCCAATGATTCTTTCTATTAATTTCACAACAACACTTCATTAGGGGATGGCTATAATCACAAATCCTTCTTTGAAAAGAACTGTGATATTAACTGTGAAATAATATGAAAAGAAAATGTCCAATAAAGCAGTTTCAATGATACAATGTCACAGTTAATATCAATTACCTGAAAGACCTCTAACATATTTAAAATATAAAAGCCATCACACATTTTAAATAGCATCATATTATTTTCTTCACTTCATTCAATAAGACTATAAACTCCTAAAGGACAGGCTCAATCCATCTACTAATCTTATTACATTCTAGCCCTGGGGTAGGCACAGTCTATATTCAATAAATGCTTTCTGAGTTAATGAATGAACTTGACCAAGAAGCTAAGCAAAACAGCTTGCTGATTAGATCAAGGGTTGAGAAATCTGATTAGGATGATTTCAATAATATCCCAGGCCTTACATTTCAGTGATATTCTTTCCTGACAGAGTCAGGAATCCTTCAAAGCAGCTCTTTAAAAATAAATGCAAATAAGATAGAATCCAGTGTTAAAAAGCATGCGAAACATCAAAATAGCTTTGTGTGGTCAACATTAAAATGAAATCCCTTTGCCACATTCGTAAAGGGCATATGATAGTGTTAATATTTTTACAATGTGTTTAATGAAACATACAGCACATATGCTTCATAAACAGAGTTTCTTACATTTATGGAAAAATATGTGAATAACTGGTTATTTAGCTAGAGATACCCTTTTCTAAGTATCCATTTTGCAAAATTCTCTCAATTTCCTCTGGTTCCAGTTTCAGTCTGATTCTAGCTTTATGTGGCTCCCATTTTCTATGTGTCCTCATCTTGCCAGATCCCTCTCTGGGTGATGCTACATGTGAGAATAGAATCAGGATTCTTCTTGCAGAGTAGAAATGCACCAGGGAATCAGGAAGTCTCTTACCCAGAACACCTCCTAAAGATTGACACATTAGAGACTGGTGAACTCATCCTGTTGTTCTAGAAAACGAACCAGCTATCTAAGAAGTTACTCAGTATCTTGGGTTGATTCCCCAAGAGATTTCTTTTTTTATATATATCCTTTAAGATATATGTGCCGAACGTGCAGGTATGTTACATAGGTATACACATGCCATGGTAGTTTGCTGCACCCATCAACCTGTCATCTACATTAGGTATTTCTCCTGATCGTATCCCTCCCCTAGCCTCCCACCCTCCCACAGGCCCCAGTGTGTGATGTTCCCCTCCCTGTGTTCCTGTGTTCTCATTGTTCAACTCCCTCTCACTCATTGCACGAGTGAGAACATGCAATGTTTGGTTTTCTGTTCCTGTGTTAGTTTGCTGAGAATGATGGTTTCCAGCTTCATCCATGTCTCTGCAAAGGACCCTAGAGAGTTCTTAATCACTTTGTGTATCGTTGTCTTTTTCCTTACACCACATGGGCACTAACTTTGCTTATATTCAAAGCAGTTCACAATGCTTTTTGGTTGACCTAGATAAGCTGCCTACAACGCTAAGGATAGTCCAAACAATTAAAAAAAAAAAATTGTCCCAAGCCCCACGCAAGCTTGACCAGTGATTTATGTCAGGGAACAAACAATGTGTAATTAATTATTTGAGCCTAAATCCTACTTCATGTTATATATGAACTCACAGTATTTTTTTATTATTTTAATGTACCTTGAAATGTTGAAGAATGAAATTACTATTGAACCAAA